GGCGCTACAGAGAGGAGGACCATGAGCCGCCAGCAGTACGCAGTTGAGCGTACAGCCTTCCAGAGCGTAGCGTCCAGTTCGCGGTCCCAGCCAGGCATGAAGAGGGCCGGCTCACGTCCTAAAGCAGTCGAGTAGGTCCTACTCGCTTGCTTGCGTTCTAGCGGCCGACTGCTCGTCCGCGGCTTCGAAAATGAGCCAGCTCCGCGATCTTCGCAAGTTGAAGCCACGGGTCCCTTTTTCTTTCGCATATGCGGAATTGTACGATATCAATTTTTGTATGTGGGCAACCTTTTGTCGAGGGACGAAACGGCTCATTGCCTAGGTATTTGTATACTATACAAGAAACAAGATGTACCGCGCCGCTTCGATGTCCCACGCCAGGTCGAAACGACTCACTCCTTCGCCCCCCGAACCGTCGACGCAACCTCGTTATATCGCCAAGAAGGGACAGTGGTCGAAAGATAATTTATAGGCTCGAGACTATGGGGACATGGCCAACCGGGGCCAGTTGTTGTTCAAGTGAGTCGTCTATTACATTAGATAAACTACGCTTTGGAAAATTGTCAGTTCTTCGTTCTGTACACTCGGTTAAGGAACTTGATTTAGGCAGGCGGAGGCAGGAGCGCGATCCGCGGGACGATCAACCTGGGCCCGTGATGAATCCCTTCCGTAGTACGGCGCCTCCCTCCTAGGTTGTGCGCCTTGTCTGGGGCGCCTTTGTGTGGCCGGGGGGGCATATTGGAGTAAGGATGAGGTGTGTGAGTTGAACTCCGCTGCTTCGGGTTGACCACGGTTGAGTTAGACAGAGCGGAAAGTTCATGCAGCAATGTCACCGTGAACGCCACCCGTCAACTGCAACGCGCAACGTAGGACGCGTCCGTACATATCATTTCGGGGCGCAGCATCTGCTTTTCCGCTGGAAAGAGAGTCGGAAGCAACGGGCGCTGGATGATGCAGAGTCGGTGGTACAAAACACGTAGCTCCACACTCTGTACTGCGCCGGATCGAACCCGACTTCATTTCCGAAGGCGCGATTCGATTCGAGCTCTTGGCTTCTACAGCGAAAACGTGGTGTTCTGAATGTAAAGTCTTCTCTTAGGTGCGCGTTCGAACGCTTAGGCAATGTTGTCGGCGCAGATAAAGTCGGCAAACCAGGCGACCGAGAGCTTGCCGCGGGCGTCCCGCGTCCCGACCGCAAAGGTGTCTACATATCCAGTTCATCGCACATTTTGTTCATGCGCCCAATCGCACGCTACCGCGGACTTCGTCCATCGTCACGACGAGACCAAGCACTTCACAGGCTCTCTGCAGCTCGTGCGGTGCGACGTAGCCCGTCTCGCTCGCGTCGTGCTTGCGCAGTGCGCGCAACAAAACGTCGCGTTCGTTCTCTTCCCTACGCCATAGAGTCGTGACTTGCATCTGGTACAACAATGGACGGACTCTAGTAGAGCCGTCGAAGTCGAAGCGACCTACTTGTGCGTGCGCTGGCCGAGCTTCTCCAGCAGCACGCTGCGCTTGTTGCCAAAGACGCCTTTATCCGGCGTCACTTGCAGCGCGCGTGGGCGCCACACGCCGCGCAGCATCGCGACAAACTCGTCGTCGCCTGCGAACGCGAGGCTCACCGAGGCGTAGTACGTTCGGAACGCCGGCCACGTCACCACATTGTTGTTCTAGCCACAGAGTTGAGACCGTACACTTGTACTATATCACCCAAAAACACGATGGAGAAGAAGGATCTCCGTACCGCATCGT